CGTCGTTACAACCACCACCCTGGCTGTCGGAGCTGCTTATCTTGCCAAACAAAAGGCTATTGTGCAGAAGCTGACTGCCATCGAGTCCCTAGCTGTAAGTTCGCTCTCCGTATATGGTGCAGATTCCGTGCAGCTAACAAATTCCAGGGTGTCGACGTGCTCTGCTCTGACAAGACTGGTACTTTGACCGCTAACCAACTGACCATCCGTGAACCCTACGTCGCCGAGGGTGAAGATGTCAACTGGTTGATGGCCTCTGCCGCACTTGCGTCCTCGCACAACTTGAAGGCTCTTGATCCTATTGACAAGATCACCATCCTGACCCTCAAGAGATATCCCAAGGCGCGTGAGATTCTGCAACAAGGCTGGAAGACCGAGAAATTCACACCTTTCGACCCCGTCTCCAAGCGTATTACCACCGTCTGCACGCTCAAGGGTGAGAAATGGTCCTTCTGCAAGGGTGCTCCAAAAGCTGTCCTGTCCATTGCGGAATGCGATGAAGCCACTGCCAAACACTACCGTGACACTGCGGCCGACTTTGCCCGTCGTGGTTTCCGATCTCTTGGTGTTGCCTCCAAGCGGGGAGATGAGCCCTGGAAAGTCATTGGCATGTTGCCCATGTTCGATCCCCCCCGTGAGGATACCGCCCACACCATCTTGGAAGCCCAGAACCTCGGTCTCAGCGTCAAGATGTTGACTGGTGACGCCATCGCCATCGCCAAGGAAACTTGCAAGCTTCTCGCTCTCGGTACCAAGGTCTACAACTCTCAACGTCTCATTGCTGGCGGTGTCGCTGGTTCTACTCAATATGACCTTGTGGAGAAAGCCGACGGTTTCGCCGAGGTGTTCCCTGAGCACAAGTACCAGGTCGTCGAAATGCTGCAGCAACGTGGCCATTTGACTGCCATGACTGGCGATGGTGTCAACGATGCTCCGTCTCTGAAGAAGTCTGACTGCGGTATCGCTGTCGAAGGTGCCACGGAAGCTGCCCAAGCTGCTGCCGATATCGTTTTCCTGGCTCCCGGTCTCAGCACCATTGTCGATGCCATCAAGGTCGCTCGTCAAATTTTCCAGAGAATGAAGGCCTACGTCCAATACCGTATCGCCCTCTGCCTGCACTTGGAGCTGTACTTGACCACCTCCATGATCATCATCAACGAAACCATCAGAACCGACTTGGTCGTCTTCTTGGCCCTGTTCGCCGATTTGGCCACCATTGCTGTCGCCTACGATAATGCCCACTACGAACAGCGACCTGTCGAATGGCAGTTGCCCAAGATCTGGGTGATTTCGGTCTTCCTTGGCTTCCTTCTGGCTGTGTCCACCTGGGTTATCCGAGGTTCTTTCTACCTGCCCTCTGGTGGTATGGTGCAGAACTTCGGCAATGTCCAACTTATGCTCTTCCTTCAGATCTCATTGGTCGAGAACTGGCTCATCTTCGTCACTCGCGGAGGACAGACCTGGCCATCTTGGAAGCTGGTTGGCGCCATCTTTGGTGTCGACGTGCTCTCGACCCTGTTCTGTATCTTCGGCTGGCTCGCCGGTGGCAAGGGCGAGCTCAACACGATTCCGCACGACCACTTTACCGAGGACCACTACAGCCGCGATACTTCGGTTGTCACCGCGGTGGTCATCTGGGGTTACTCGATCGGGGTCACCATTGTGGTTGCTATCGTCTACTTTGTCTTGACCAGCTTGACATGGATTGACAACCTTGGCCGCGCTACCCGCAGCCACGCCGATACCACCATGGAGAACATCATCTCCCACCTTAGCCGTGTCGCTCTCGAGCACGAAACTGATGTTCATGGCAAGTCGAAATGGGTGTTGGGCAGCAAGGCCACTGGAGAGGAAGAAGGTGAGTTCTAATCCGATCCCCTTTTGCCGTCAATGGATTCATGACTAACTGTTTCGCAGAGGAATAGATGTAGAGTGTTGACGTTTAGGGGATATGAAGATAATTCGCGTCTGGCACTGAAAATGGGGTGGAGGATGGTGTTGCAACTGCACAGAAGAAATCAATCTTCTCTGTTTATTTCATAATCTGAGCTAATGGGTTCGTGCAAGCTATAAATGAGAATTGTGTTGTGTGGAATGAACAAAAGGGACACAAAGGGAAATTCTCCATCCATACCGGAACAAAGCATGACATACCTATGTATGCCTCCCACAGCACACACGCATTGAAGAAGAAGAAAAAAGAGACTCAAAAAAACACTGGGAAAAAGCAGAGAGCCAAGTGAGCCAGCCTCAGCCTCGTTCACCGCCCCCAGCAAGTCCCCTCTTTTCTCTCGACTTCTATCCTCTTGTTTGTAGCCTTTGCCTGTTAGAAAATGGCCTTTTTTTGGCTCAGGAACCTGAAATTACTAGACATACTTTTTTATTTCTGCGGTTCCTGCGTTTTCTTTTGTTCCTTTCTCATATTCTAATTTTCACTGCCGGTGTCGATGTCGATGTCGATGTCGATGTCGATTGACGAAAGGTCCTCGCTGCTGGACTACTTGGGTGGTAAACATGGCCATGTGATGACTGCGTGGGAGTAGATCCGTTGTAGGTACGAAGTACTCGTAGAACTATTCGTTTGTGATCGACCGTGAATGGACAGTGAGTGATAGAGCGAATGAAACGCTACGAGTGCAACGAATGCAGTGGATAGAAAAGTACGAACTATAGAACCCACCACTCACCACCTCTTCATACACCGGGAGGAGCAAAGCGGACAGCATTGTCAGAGCATGATTCCCGTGCCATTCATACCTAGGTATGTAAAGCACGTACATGCCCGGCAACACACGGGAGGAAGAAGGAGAGGAATGGACTGGTCACCGGATCTCGCAGATCCCGCTTCTCCTCCTCCTACTCACTGTGACGTGCATGTACGTATCATCGGAGCAGCTGTGAGAGCACGACATCTCCGAATGCAGGCCCTCGTCAAGACGAAAAGCCCGTCAGTGTTCCCTGGACATTCCTTCACCCAGAGAGCCCCTCCCGCGAGTGAGCGACGGGAAGGTGGGTGACTGAGTACGAGGTAGGGCAGGAGGAATACAGTCTCGCGCCACCGGTGAGGCATCATTCAGGAGGGGAAGAGGGCATCATGATGGAGAGAAGTCTGAACAATGAATCCCGTGCGAGGCTCCGCTCTTCCTCGTCCTCTGCCCAGGAACCAGGAACCAGGAACCAGGAACATCTCGCCACCTGAGGGTCCTATGGCCTCCTGCAAGGGACTGGAGCGCGACGGATCTGACGCTTGTGGCGAAAATGCCCAGGAGCTTGCGAGAGATCCTGCGAGCCTGGTGGTCCAAGACTGTGGGCAAGCGGAGCGGAGAGCGGAAAAGCGAGGCGAGGGTTCGTAGGGCAAGCCGCTGACAGCCGGCCCTTTCTCTCTGTCAGATCGCTGAATAGCCACTGAGAGCTCAGAGAGGCAGAGAGAGAACCTTTTCGGTACCAAAGGGTCCCTGATCCTCTTTCGTGCTTTACCGTATCGAGCCATTGTCTGCAAGTCATTCGCCTGGCTTTCCTGAAGTGGCACAGGGCCAGCCGCCCTTACCCCTTGTTTTCGGGCGAAGATCCAGCCTCGTATCGAGCAGCAAACCTTGCACTACTCGTATCGGCCAACGTCAAATGACACGACATTGAGATATTGAGTGAGGACCAAACAAACCCAAGCACGAAAACAAATGAACAAACACACCAATGAAATGGATCAAGCTTGACAGTAATGAAGGGGGCCGCATCACCTGGATTTTCAACGTTGTCAATGAGGAAGGGCTTAGAATCTTGCCGCGCTTCTCAGCATGCGCTTTGTCGGGTCGTTGGGTTCCACAGAAGTAACAGGCGACAGGTGTCACATTAGAGGAAGACCCCGGTTGACTCATTGGCTGATATTGACGTGTGAATGCCCAACGTCCGACCGAAATTGCCATTCCTGGGGTTGACTTGGAGATCCTGTCTCGAGAAAGGGATGCCGCCGCGGCATTTTGAGCGCGAAGCTTGGGCCCTGGTCTCGACTCTGGACGTATAATTGACGTGCTGGCTCAAATATGAGACGAGAGCATATTTGAAGGTATGCGTAGTCCTCCCCCACATGGTACAGAGAATGATGTATATCCCGTAGTTGAGGAGCTTCTAGTCCAGGCTATGGACTAACCCTAGCCACAGAGATTGCACTGTCGAAGTCGCTCCATTGGCCAGCAAAACACCTTGGTAATCAAGCATGCAGCTGTCGCAGCTAGCTAACATGCATCTTATCCTTGAGAATATGAATTTAGCGCGTATGGGGCGGTGGAGTTCGGCCTTCAAGTGACTAGCTTGAACCTTGTATCAATGAGGAGCGGCCGGATTGCCATCGCAGCCTTGTCGTCTCCAGCGAAGGGAAGATTGACGAATCTGTGGAGGTTGCTCTGGGCCGCAAAAATCGCATCCTATTGAAATCACTGATGTTTTGGCTGTTCCATTTGTACCGCGGTTGAGTGGTGAGGGTCTGCTCTGAATGAGCCTCTCAGTCACCATTTCCTGCTCTTTCTGTCGCTTCTCTTCCTCGGTGTGTCAGATCAGGGGTCATATTCGACAGGGGGGATTTGAGGGGGAGAATGATGGCGACCGGACTGTTGTGAGATGGCACAGATGAGCAAGGCAGAGGGCACCATTCATCCAACAAGAGGAGCTGTCTCTCCCAGCTGTAAGGGGACCGCAGTCTCCGTCGACAGAGTAGTGCAGTTGCGGTAATGAGCTGAATATGTTATCTGAGCAGAATGCATGGCTGTGTAAACTGTTCAGGGATGCTTGCACTCAACCATTGCCAATGCAGCCCGAACCACATGTGAAGATACAGTGAAGCACCGAAGGCCACCAGTGACAAAGGACATGGACAAAGATTTCCTGGTGCAGTGAAACTCAGGAAGCCTCCCGTTCAGCAACAACAACCCCGTTCCAAAATATCACCAGCAATCTCACTTTCTCTAACCACAATTCAGAAACACAAGATCTCAATAAAACAACACACCGGGTTGGTGTAGCGGTTAACATTACTGTCTCTCATGGTCAGAGTTTATCAGCTCTGATGTGAGAAGCACAGTCGCCCCTGGTTCGAATCCGGGACTCGGTGTTGTCAATCCTCCTTTTCTCCTTTTTTTCCTTCTCTTTTTTGCTGCGTTATCCTGGATTCCAAATCTCGTCATGGTTTTTGATCTTTTTATAGCGTCGTATGGAACTTTGATTCAGTTGTGGGAGGATAGTGGTGAGGGTGTGGTGAGGCTGAGAGTATAGTGTATGCCAGGGCAGTGGAACCTGCATCAAGATGCAATATCCACGGTAGGAGAAAGGACGGAATAGTTCGAGAGTGGATAGATTGCATGCCTCCAGAGCTCATAGCATATGGTGATGCTTGTAGCGAAGAGCAAGCCAATCTCGATACTGTGTTTACAAGCGTCATAAGAATTTGGGACTCAAAATCACGCGTCAAGCACAGGGGAGTTGTCTCAATGACAAAAGACTCAGCTTGGGGGCTCTAGCTCCCGACTTCCTCAAGTCGTGTACTCGGTGCAATGGCATGAGATCAACTAAACACTCTGGTGGGTTTCCAGGAGATGTTTGTCCGCCCAAAACGCGTGTTGTTGTCCTCTGGTGCCGCTATACTTGGGAAGGAGACACCATCTTGGGTCGCGCAAGGAAAAGTGTTCGCTTTGGAGAATGCAACGGGTCGACAATGGGTTGGGCTACGGCGTAGTCTGCCTCAGCCCCGGTACAGAGGAGAGTCGAAAAAGACACCCTCTCTGCTCCATGGCGCGACAGGGGCCAATGCAGGCTCGATCACGCTGCGGAGCTGCATTAGGCTGCCACCAGGGGTCGCAGGAGGTCACATCAATCTTTGTGCGCGAAATATCTGGAAGGGTGTGGCGCCCCAACACTCCACGAGTATTGACAGACACGGAGAAAAACCATCCAATGCGTGGTTCTCCGGGTAACGGTCCGAAGAGGGAACATCCGTCCTTGAGGCAGAGAGGGCTATCAAATTTCCGCCAGCAAGTTCATCTTGATATGCAGACCAGGCTGGCTGCTCCCCCAGCCATGCAAGGAGCTGAGGTGGCGGGAAGTGTGTGCTGAAGGAAGAACAACCTTGTCCCAACAATTCCTCGTCATGTAGCCTGTTGGGTCCGGCGCTGCGCAATATGCACAGGTCTTTCTTGCAAGGCATGAAATGTCAGGAGCACCCGCCCATTCCACCATTACTAACACACCATGCAGCAGCCGACAGCGAAGCAGGTACCAAGTAAGATAGGAGTCAATGGACCCATTTAGGGCTAAACAATAATACCAATCAGTGTCGGATACAACCATCCCAGCCCCAGCCGTGAGGCTAACTTGTGCCGTTCCTCCGCGCGCGTCCATCCCTTCTTCGTCAAGAGAGATACGCATTCGGGGATGGAGCCTTCACGGGTCGTCCCGACTGAGTCGAGTCGCTTGATGGTATGATACGGGATGGAAGGCAAGGGTGTGATATTGTCACACCGGTTCTGAAAAGGGATGTCTTTTTCATCACAGCAGTCTGGTTTGACCCTTGTTGGTCGCTGGCCGTGGTCGTTTATTGTTCCACTCTTCCATTCACCGCTTCCGTTTCCTTCGATAGCGAGGACCCAGGGGTACGTGATGGCAACATTAACCGTCCGACTTCCAAGTTCCATGGCAATGATATTGCATCTTAAGTCGGCTGACTGAAGAACCATGAAAACGCGGTCGTGGCGTATGACCCAATAAGGCCATGGTCAAAGGCAGCACCCGCGCTCAGCCACACAGCGACCTATTTCGCAGCCAGAGCAACTTCGCAAGAATTGGGCCTCGGAGGAGGCTTATTACAGTGAACGCAGCGTAGAAAGTTCTCGAGCCAGCCGGGCGAGGTTTGTCGAGGAGAGAAAAGCCATGGCGCCCTTGCCGAAAACGCCGGCACCACAGAGGAAGCTTCACACCCACCAAGCTCGTTGCAATGATACAAACCTTTAGAAACAGGCCCTGGCTGGTCTCTTGCAGATCACGTACGCTAGATCGCCTGAGGCGTGTCAGAACAGTAAAGACAGCGCACCATGTCCTAGTCAGAAAAAGCAGACCAAGTGGTACGTCCCTTCTTCCCGTATGCACTACGCCTGCTGCTGCAAGGATTAAATTCTTCCGGAACGCGTCCCGTTGCTGGCCAGCCGGGGAGGACATGGAGACTCTCTGTCGGAGCGCTGTTATTCCTGGTGGGCTGGATAAGCCCAAACGACAACCTTACGCCAAAGCCCCTGGCCAAACAATTGAAAGGGCCGAGATGAGAGACTACAAACCTGCTGTAATGGAGCACTCCGCTCTGGCCGCCACAAGAGGTGGGCAGTGATTCCAGCCCCATCGTATTCCGTTGGTAGCGTGCCGGCAAGATGGATCCTAGAATGCCTGGGGATCTCTTTTGTGGCCCAAAAGGCTTCATTTCACGGAGCCCGTGGTGCAAGCACCCCAGAAAATTCCTAGAGGTTAAAGGCGCCTCGATGCGACTGGGATGTTATGGAGCCACCGTGTAAGGCACCAGAGGCTGCGGAAGATGCAGTAGCGTGCCTCCAGCCCCTGAGGGACCACGCCTTGTTTCCATTTTCTCCTTGCCCGATGGCACAACTGGCCACCTCTTATCTTGTTGCAATGTAGCGGTGAGGTTTGTGATCAAATGAAATGAAAATGTTGCTGCATTCTTGAAATCCTTCCAGTGGGCTTCTTGTCAGTGGAGAAAGATTTGAACGCCCGAAAAACTAAGCGCTCTTTCGTGAACATAAAGATGAGTAGTCCGGCCACAGCGGGCTCTCCTTCAAATATTCAGATTCACAGCAAGCAGATGTCCTTTCAGCATACACCTTTTTCTGCAACGCCTACCATGACCGACCATCACCCAGCGAATATGAGAGCTCATGATCAAGAAGATCCACTCCAGTCTATCGCAGACATTGACGGGGGTTGCCCTCAGGAATGGTCCCGCAGTGAGTAAAACTTTGTCCATTCTTTCGGACGTCATGGCTGATAATTGCTTGCAGAGTGCTCGAGATGCACTTCAGTCCAGCCAAGCAGCCCTGACGCCGGCGAAACCGTGCAGCCTGTGCACCCCAACAGCGATGGCGACCACAGCGGCAGCAGTGGCAGTGGCAGCAGCGAGAAATCAGATAGCAACACGCCGCGTCGCCATGCTGATTCAAGGGACCAAGACTCCCACCTTGGCCTATGTTTTCCTGGCGGCATGGACACACCGTCAATAAGCACACAGGCATCCTTGTCCTTTGGAACCCAAACAAGCAATGGGCCAACGTTGACTGAGCCAGAAGAGCCAAACGAGTCCGAGGAGGAAACGGAACCAAGGGATACTGGCAATAACAGGAGGAACCTCAAGCGCAAAGCCCCGAGGTCTTCGGAGTCACCCGAGAGGGTCCGTCGTCGTGAAGGATACGAAGGCAGCCTGTAGTCGGAAAGTCAGTGGTGGACTGGAAGATATTCATGGTCATTAGTGCACAGAGAAACCACGATCAGAGAGAAGATTGATTCAGCAAAGGGGAGTCATTGTCGAAAGCGATCATCAAGCCAGGCCGAGACTGCTTTCGGCGCTCCCATTCAGACTAAGGATGATACAAAGCTCATCACCTTGGAGAAGGATAGATAAAAAGTATTGTTTACATACCCAGTTGTGTTCCAGAACTGACATCCTGGAGTATCTTGTCGCGCTTCTTGGCGTTCTAGGGACGTTTCAACGAGAATTTGTGATCCAAAGACGGGAGGAAGGAGGAGAGCCTGACATTGCACGTGGATCACCTTGGGTCCTGTCCAAGGATTGGCCAGAGAAATGTCTTTCCAACTGATGCTGATACTACCGGTGTATCTGGCCCCTCGTCGTAGGTCAAAGTGTCGACATTGGGATGGGTTGTTGCTGGCTCGTCTTCGAATCGCCGTTTTCTCGGTTCACGGTCGCACTTGCTGCTTTCTTTCGTCTTTGCTCTCGCCTCTTCCTTTGCTCTAGCTGCTCTTCTCTCATTCAGCAACCGCTGGATTTCGGAGTGGCGGAACATCTTGATCTGCCCATCCGTCAATGTCCTTTTGACGCCGTCCTGGTAGTAACCCAGAACACTGTCGTCACTGTTGTTGTCGCCGCCAATATCAACGTCATGGCTGGACTCGGTCTGGGTGACAGGGTTGCGTGGACAGCTAACCAGGTCTGGGATTGGCTGACCGGAGAAATGGGCAGCATGGAAAGCCCTCAGCCGTGCTATCTCCCCCTGCTGAATAATGGTGGTCGACATGGGGTAACAACAGATCCTACTCGTACTGCAAGCGTGGCGTCGAGGGGCACGGAGGTGTCGCCACTTTCAGCGGCTACACAAACGACAGGCACGCAGGAGTCTCTCGAAATTTGGTTTGTTGAGTATTGCAAAAAAAGATGAGGTAAACCAATCAGTGAGAGAAGATTGCAAAGGAAAAGGCGGCGACGGTCAGCGAGTTGCAGGAGCAACGGGTTGGCGGTGGTGGGTGAGATGGCACGATGCAAAAGGGTCAGCGAGCGCAGCTTGTAACGAGCCTGCGGCGTGTACCTCGTTCTTGGTACGGAGTATCTACCTACTACCTAGGTACAGTACCTAGGTAGGTAGGTACCTCGCTCGCGTGGTACCTGAGAAGATGAAATTTCTCTCGCCGCTGACAAAGCGCGGCGGGCAATGAGCTTGGGGTGAGCTTCATGATCTCGGGGATTTTAGACAATGTGATTGGTCACTCCCTCGCACTCCCTCGCTGGCTAAAAGTAGCTTCCTCCTCGTTGCTGATGAGTAAACATTCAAAGTCTACGTCGAACCTTCTCTCGTCGCAAAAGGGTAAGGGGAATCATCAATATGCATCATCCAGACCAGACCAGCTGGGGCAAGGACCGGGTTCAATTGAAGATTCGCTGTCGGAGCATCGGGCGACGTATCCTGATACAGCTCTTTCTCCTGGCCGCGGGCTTTGTAAAACACGCGGCACATTGCCTAGAATCTCGACAAATACTATGATTACTCAGGGCAGCTTCGCTCAAGGGGAAATGCCTTGTGTGTGCGGGCTTTTCACTCATCGGGGAGAGTAACAATCGAAAAGTTGGGGCTCTATGATGGATGTTGGCAAGACTATAAAAGACCCGGATATGTATGCTCTGAAATCCTTTCATTGATCCTCAAGTCGCTCCCAAAGACAGATCTAACGCACTCCGTACACCCATCAATTCTTTTTGTTACCGCATCGTTCGCAGAGACAAAATCTCCCAAATGGCTGCCGAGCTCATACTTCTGACCGGAGGCTCCGGCCACGTTGGTTATCGGACACTGGTTGAGGCTCTTTCCAAAGGCTACAAAGTCCGGGCTGCGGTTCGCTCTGAAAGCAAAATTGCCGAGATCAAGGCTGCCAAGTCCACCCAGCCATATCTTGATCAACTTTCCTTTGTTATCGTGCCCGATATCGAGAAGGACGGTGCCTTTGACGACGCCGTCAAGGGCGTGGATTACATTGTCCACGTTGCATCGCCTTTAGCAAAACCTTCCGACGATGCTGAGGCCAACATCATCCAGCCTGCCATTCGGGGCACACTGAGCATTCTCCGGTCGGCTCTTAAAGAGCCCTCGATCAAACGGGTCGTCATCACTTCGTCCGTGGTGGCTGTAAATCCCAGCGATTCGCGAGTCTACACGGCTGACAACGTCGAACCAGATCCCCAAGGTCCATATCCTCACGATTTCGCAGCGTATGCGGCCAGTAAGAAGCTCGCCTACAACCGCACCCGAGATTTCATCAGCCGAGAAAAGCCTCATTTCACCGTGATCAACATCATGCCTACCTTCGTCATTGGCAAGAACGAGCTTGCGACTACTCCAGCAGCCGTCACCGCCGGTTCCAATGCCCTTGCATTTATTCCGCTTCTAGGGATGCAGAACCCCAATGGATTGCCGGGAGCCACATGCCACGTTGATGATGTTGCCTTCGTTCATATTGCCTCGTTGGATCCGAAGATCCAAGGCAACCAGAACTTTGGAATCAACTACGACGTGAACGGCATTAAGTGGGACGATGCCATCGACATTGTCAAGAAACATTTCCCTGAGGCCTTGAAGAAAGGCGTGTTTCCTCTCGGGGGCAGCTTGAAACCATTGCCCATGCCATTTGATGCAAGTAAGACGGAGGAAGTCTTCGGCATCAAGTTCAAGTCCTTTGAGGAGCAGATTGTGAACCTTGCTAGTCATTACATCGAGGTAGCCACAGCAGCTTGATACCAGCAGGGGGGGGTCTAGGTGAACAGGAGTGAAAGGGAGGGTCCGTAGTTAACAGGAAAGGAGCATCTTTTCATAAAGCAACTTCTCTAGGACAGAAATCATATCGATGCCCAGGTGTGCACAGCTTCTTGGAGAGTCCTCTGAATCCAGGGGACAAGGCTAGCGATATAGCTTAAGTCCTCGGTGGGTGTTTACTCCGAAGGCCACCGATTAGTTCTGGACATGCTATGCAGTTTGGCGGTTTCTCGTCTACTGCTAGGGATACCCCCGCTGTGAGGATGTCAACAAGTATCATCAGGAATAGTCCCTGCTCCATCTACCAATGACTTTGTGGATAGAAACAAGAATTGGCCAACTGGACTGGTCCATTGCTCGCTTCGGAGACTGCATCCGCCCCCATTCCGTGACATCACTCCATCTAGCAATTGGGAAAACATGCAATGAATTCATCCCAGTTGAAATTTACTTGATTGCATTACACGCCTCCCCCTGCCACGCTGGTAACGAGTCCATTCATGTGCTTCGTATACCTTCGAAGCCAGTTCAAGCGCTCTCCTGTTCCTGTCCTCATATTAACCTCCCTCTCCGCCAAATGAGTTCGAACTCGGAAGATCCCAGCTCTGCGATTAATATGTCCTCCGCGGCGCGTGCAATGCTGGGCAAAGTCCACAAGCTGGTGCCTCCGATGCTGGAGCGATTTCACAAAGGTCAGCTTGGCCGAGTTGCTGTCATCGGCGGCAGTGCAGACTACACGGGTGCTCCATACTTCTCCGCCATGGCTTCTGCACGGTTGGGCTGTGATATGTCCTACGTCTTCTGCGAGCCTTCGGCAGCCCCGACGATTAAGTCATACTCGCCGAATTTGATGGTCTCACCGATCCTCAGATCAACAGCGTCCATATCTCAGGCACAGAAAGAGCAGGATCCCTCAGGAGAAGAGCTGGCCAAACCAATACTCGATATGTTGGCTAGGTTGCATGTGCTGGTCATTGGGCCTGGCCTGGGAAGAGATACTGTTACGCAAAAGCAGGTCAAGGCGGTCATTGCCGCAGCCAAGAAGCATAGCCCCCCTATCCCCATGGTGCTAGACGCGGATGCACTCCTGTTGGTCCAGACAGACCCGGACTTGATCAGAGGACACAAGGAATGCATTCTTACCCCCAACGTGATTGAGTTTGGCCGTCTGGCCAAGTCGGTGGGGATGGACCAGAACACTGGGGACCCGGAGAAGGCATGCCAGGAACTTTCCAAGATCCTCGGTGGAGTCTGCATTATTCAGAAGGGCCCAGTCGACTACATATCACAAGGTATTGACACCACCGTCTCCGAGTTCCAAGGTGGGCTGAAGCGGTCCGGCGGACAGGGTGACACCTTGACGGGTTCGTTAGGCACGTTGCTTGCGTGGCGGGAAGCTTATCATGAGAAACTCTGGGACATTGGCGAAGAGATGAGCCGAGAGGAGACGCTCTTGTTGGTGGCGTTTGGGGGCAGCGCTATCACGAGAGAGTGTTCACGGAGAGCTTTCGCAAAAAACCAGAGAAGTCTGCAGGCCAGTGACCTTACGGAACAGGTCCATGAATCGTTCCTGACTCTGATTGGGGAGCCTGGCCCGACACAACCGCCAAAACAGAATCTGTGAATAGCTTCTGATGGTTGCTCACTCTTGAGCAAGCCCTCATGGAAAACTCGAATGAAAAACGCTCCTGTAGAAAAGCAGCCAGAAATCCGCAGTAAATGTAAAGATCAAAGGGAACAATCAGCAGATGATGCTTATTGTCTGCAGCCACTCTTACATACCCATGGACCTTAGAACAGCCACGTCAGGCTCGAGTAGGCCTTTACCCTATGTACAGTGACACGGCCAAAAGCTCCCCAGTAGTCTCGGACGTCTACGTGTCGTAAACGGATCCCTTTTGTTTCATGAGCCTCTCTACCCTCTGTTCCTCCACTTCTTTATGCCTCCCCTCATAGTACTTAGCCAACGCAGAGAGATCTGCGGTGCCTTGTCCAGCAGACACGTTCCAGGGCGAGCCGAAGTTGAAAGACCTAGAAACCCGGGTCAGTGACACTGATACAAAGATGTGGTCCAGGCACAACGTCTACATACTCTGGAAGTCGAAGAGGAGGACCCGCAGGATCAGTCGGTGTCGCAGCAAACAATTGCCTGTCAGCTGCCGCCTTCTCCATCATGGTCGTATGTATCGCATCTTTTCTCAACTCCACCTCTCTGCCGGCATCATATCGCCGCACAAGACGGCTGAGGGCATTGTCTCCGGGGGAGCTGGCGATCGAGTAGACGAGTATTGCGAAAGGTACGGAGCCAATGGCAATGTAGAAACCCCTCTGTGCTCCATCAAAGTGTCAGTCCTTGCATCGCCCACCCTTCAAGCTCCTGTAGGGGATTTCCTGCTCACGCCGAATCCTTCATGTCCCGATCCAGCTGCGACGTGGAGAGCGCTCTCCCCAGAGTGATGATGTGCATCTCCGTGACCGTGGCCAGCTTCGTGGCCAGCAAATCTGCGTTGCGGGTGTTGTTGGATTGCACGCCTCAAGGGACGAGCTGCAGCTCTCGCCCCTCGAGAGACAAAAGACATGATTGTGTATGCTGCAGCGAAGGAAAGGGGTCACGAGGAACTGTTCTGCAATGTACTTTACTTCATGTTCAACCGGCCATCAAACTGCGGTTATACGACCAAGCTATATGGCGCCAAGAACATTCGGCCCGTGCATTTATCCGGCCCTCACGCATCCAATCTCAACATCCTCCCACTTTCTTCACCAATCGTACTTTGACACGATGTTGTCTTCAGTGGCCAGCGTCCTATCAACACGCCGCGTCCAGGAGGCGAAGGCACTTTGGTTCATGCAGTCCTATTGATTATGTGGAGTGCGCCAGACCGACTGTCGTCACCTGGGTCGGGCAGCAAGCTCCTATTCTGCAGAAGTTGGCGGCCAGTCTTGAGACGAGCGCAGCTCCCAATGCTGACCTTCCTCCTCAGAGTTAAGTGTTTATGACTCAAATGACCCTTTCTTTTACTGTAACCTTCTGAGTTTTATATTCTAGACTTTTTTGGCCGGTCCTTTCTGTATAAAAGTGTACCAGTATTTGTTGTCTGTACATTACTGGATGCCCTGAACATTTGGCAAAGAGAGAAAAAAGGATTTTAGGCCATGGGTACTTTGGTTTCGCTTCCTAAGATAGGGTGACCGTAAAAGCCTCTGTTTTTTGCTTCTCCTATTTATTCTCTCATTTCAGCAAAATGTCGACGTCTGCGTATCAGACCAGTGCTCGGCCCCGAGGTAGGCCGGGGAGCTTCAGCGATACTTCAGAGAAGCAGACTCGGAGTCGAGCCTCGAGTTCAGCTTCTGCAAAACTATCCAAGACGTTGTCGAGGACTCTTGAAGAGGTCTCGATCCCAAGACACAGCCGTTCGAATTCACCGGCTATATATTTCCACCGGCCAAGGACGCTCGACTCAAAGTGGCCGGATCCTGGCGTGGCTTCATCTAGATATTCGGCCGTCTCATTGAGATCCGACAAGAGTATCTCGTCGAGGATGGAGGATGACCCGGTTCATGCCCCGAGTTCGCCGACTAAGGTGAAACCACATATCATCCAAAGGCCCCATGACATACCGAATACTTCTATAGCAGACGCCCATCCTCTATCATCTACGAAACCCTCGATGACCGCCGTCCCGGAGGCAGGAGAGCTTATCGGATCCTTCACAAGAAATGCGGAGCTTCTGCAAACTTCGCAAGGTCTCGGTCCCAAAAGCCAGTCGTCGAGATCGCTTGCTGCGATGCAGCCAACAGTTTCGGAAGGGCCTCAGGACATCACTCCCATCCAGAAGACATCGTCGTCCCCCAAAATTTCCATGTCATCTCCCTACCCTACTGACGTTTCAGAGCCATCGAAGAAAGGGTCGAAGTCGTCACTGCGCGAAGAAATGGCCCTCGCATCCCCAAGAACGTCAAAGTCTTCTTTGCACGAAACCACAGTTAGACCCATGGGTACAACGTCAGCAGTACCCTGTGCTCATGACCCACTGGTTGCCCCAACTCCGCAGGGCCCGGTAGTTTTCATTCAACCTACGTATGGCCAACATCTCGTGGAATCGGGAGAGGGAGACATGCCTTTCATGCCGAGCCCTACGTTGGCAACTGAGGGAGCCTATCTTCATGGGTACCCGCCTCATGGTCGCTCGCCCCTAGCATCGCCTCCTCTATCACCATTTCTCCAGCAACCTGCCGCTAGTCCGCCTCCACAGGGTGTTCCATTCCCGCCGCCCTTTCCATATCACTATCCTCATCCGTTCGTAGCTAACCCTAATCTGCAACTCGCATTCTATCCGCCGCATTTCACTTCCCCTGCTCCGCCATTTCCCCATCCAGATACTGTATCTCGATCTGGCTCTGCAGGTCCAGATGATGAGCGGACAAAACTGCTTGAAAAAGTCTCAAGCGTCCTGCCGGATATCAATCGCTTGCTGCACTACTATCAAGAAAGTCAAGGGCTTCTATCTGAGAAAGATCTTCTCGTTAAACAAGCCGAATCACAACATAACGAAGAGGTTGCGAAGCTGAGAATTGAACTGAGCGTGTCCAAAGAAGAATATGAGCGCATCATTGGGGAGCAGGCTCGGGAAAATCTAAAGCTGAAGAACGAGATGACTGAGCAGGCTGAGAGTCTTGAGGCTTCTTCTCGGGAGCTCGCTAGAGCGAACGAGGAGATTGCTAGACTGACGCTAAAATGCGAGTCCTTGCAGAATGAGGCCGAGAACAGTCGGGCCACGAATGAGCAGCTGAATGCACAAAAGATCGACCTGGAGGACCGGGTCGAAGCCGTGAAAGAGCAGCTTACTGACGAACGGACGGAGCATGAACGCGCTCAGGCAGACTTGATCCAAGCTCATGAGCAGCAAATGGCGGAAAGAGAGGATGCTCATACCAAGTTACTAAATGAACACAAGACTGGGCTTTCCAAACTTCAGCTTGATCTAGCAGGAATGATAACGAAGCATACACAACAGAGGAGAGATCTGGAATCCGCGCGAGCAGTCATCTCCGAGCACGAACATTCCTTGGCTGCGAAATCCAAGGAGCTAATTGATTCTGCACAAGCTCACAAAAACGAACTGGACGCGAAGAGAAAGGCGGTGGAGGAGATTGCAGAGCAACACAAGCAAGAGATTGCAGCTTTGTCACAAAAGCTAGCTCAGACGGTGGGAAAGCACAAAGACGAGGTTACTGCCCTGCGGGAAGGTCATCAAAGAGAGTTTGGACAAATACGAAAGGCGGCCGAAGGACGATTATCAGAGATGATCACCACGCACAAGCAACGTGAAGCGCAGCTCCAGGCTGAGTTGAATACCTTCCGATCTACGGTCGAAGAGCTTAAGGAAGATCTCGAACAGCAGCGCATCGCCAATGACAGCTTGAGGAGTGAGCTTTCAACGGCACAGAAAGCTCATCAGACGCTTCAAACCTCGCATAACATGACCAACCAGCACCACGCAGAATTGGCGGAATCTATAATCTGTTTGAGAGACAAGCAGGCTCAATGGCAACGAGAAAGTGAGCGAATGGAGCGTATTCTTCAAAGTTTGGGGGTTATAAGTGCCGGTAAAGAAAAGAGTGACGAATTCTTGTGAGTGTGGTCTGCTGCGCTTCTGACACGTGCCGTTCTCATTATTCTCCAGGTCGACTTCGGGCGCACGCCGCTGACAGGTGAATGTAGTAAAAGTGCTTTCAAATCGCTAGCACTGTTGGTGGAAAAAGTTTCAGAGCAATTCTTTCAGGACCAACCTTGTTTGACTTATGCACTGGCACGAACGGTCCAATTGAGCAATCTTCCTGATATGACAGGCACCACAACGACGGCTCGGGGACTTCGTTCCCTTCTCATCCAGAGTCAGATATTCAGCGTGCTACATCAGAGGATCTTCCAACCATTCTTGTTCACATCATCGTATGACGAGTGCGATGGGTCCGGCTTGGATATGTGCTTGGCTAGGGTATCGAAGATGATCAGTGCAAAGAGCGTCCACCGAGAAGCAATATGGAGGGCAATCACAATGCGGGCTCTCTATACCAGTCCCTTTGGTCGCAGGGCGGCCAGCACAGTCGCCACATCCGCCAGCAAGGAGATCGTCGACAAGTTACAATCTATGACACTGGTCGAGCATGTTCCAGCGTTAATTGAGGCAGTCCGGTCGATTGCCAAGGCAGCAGTTCAGCTGTGGCGGCAAGTGCGGGTCGAATGGGCGGCTGTGAGATGCAGCATGCCTCCACGAGTTCTCAAGATGGAGGGAACATCGAGTCTAACTGATGTCACGCTTGGGATCCGACCGCATATCTTCAGGGAAGGAGTCAGGACTGTCGACGATGATGGGTCGAACACTGGTCCACTGAAGAGTCCGCCGACGACAGGTTGCATCTACCTTCAGGGGACTGCATTGTGTCATGACTCGCCCCTGGTCATTGCAAGGCGTCAGGAGCTGATGGCAGGCGTTGACGGGCGAGAATAAAACAGAAGGCATCGTACAATAGAAACATTGTACAAAAGTAGCTGCATGATGTGCCATGAAGTGGTGCACATGGGCCGAAGCGGATTGTGGTTGTTTTGCGGATACCCCTGCGTGAGGTCCACCAAAATACTCGATGTGAAAGGCGGAGCTCGTGGAAGCTTGGAGAGTGGTTGCTGGCGATTGGACAAGTTGCAGGGGGAAGAGGGAGAAGAATCTGCCCATGAGTCTGCCCCGGGCTAGTCGGATCGACTCTACCTAGGTAATGATCCCTGTACAGTGCAGTGGGCGAGTGGGATACCAAGGGCAGTGCCGTTGGTGCTGGCTGCTCACTGGTTTGTGGGCTCGTAAGGCTGATTGGGGGCTGTGCTGCGGCCTCGAGGCTCCATGCTCCCTGAAGCTTTGCTGCGTCTCGGGGGTCGTCCCTTGCATCATAACTGTATCGTCAATATCGTCATACCTACCTACAGTAGGTACCTAGGTACCTCTGTATGTTCCTGTCTGTCTTCCGGTTGTTCTTCAATTGTGTCATTATAGGGCTAGTATGAGCCAGCACAGGAGACGATAGCGGCCATGGTTTGCCCTTATCGCACGGCGACAGCATGAACAATCACTCGTGATCGGGTCGGAGTAAATTGTTCAACGGCTCCCACCATTTTTGAGCTCACCGGTTTGGGGAACGAGCTTGTGGCTTGTCGTGCCTTGTGTGGAACGATATCGTGGGTCCTTGCAGCAGCCAGTGGCCCAGTGGTGCCTTCGGTCGAATCAACCCTGGGCGCCTCGACACCTCTAATGCACCAGCTGAAAAAGTAGTGTCATTCAAACCTCCAACAGCCGACAAGCATGGCTGTGCAGCCTGTGCTCGCCATCCAGGATACGGCCTGGTGGGCTTGCCATCTCCATCTCCACCTCAGTTCCCCCTCCCAAGTCCCAAGGCCCAAGAAGGAGGCTTGTGTCCTCCCTCTGCGCGAGACAAGGGAAAACACCTCCACCACCACCGCTCTACGACTACTCGATACAACCGACCGTCACCATGACCTTTCCTTGGTAGAATTCCTCTGCTTGACCTTGGTCAAACCCTCCTGCGGACTACTCTGCCTCGAACCTCACCTTTGACCCCGAGTCCCTCATTTCCCCTGCGCGCCAGCGCGCCTTTGGCACCGGCCGACCTCCGATTGTACGAGTATTCATCAGGCTGTTTCCGTCCTGGAGCAGGTCAATGCTCGGGTCGCGAACCATTCTTCCCACAAAAGTTCGAAGTCTGCCCCTCGATCTGCCTCCTCACGGCAGTATCCCTCATTACTTCTTGCCGGTGGCTGCTCCTCGAGCCCCTTCCACAGCCCTGGCTACTTGTCCCTCTGCGCGACCAGTCACATCTCCCTAGATTTTGTCCGACCACGTCAGGAGACACAGCAAGTGGGTGCCACAGATCCCCGACTCCTTCTGGAGCATTTCCCTCTTCCTCCTAGTGTATCCTTCATCTCGACTCACTCTCCTCTATTTGCCTTGTCGAGACATATCCTGGTGCGATCCAACAGAGCAGCCATATCCACAGCGTCACAAAGGTCGACAGCAGGCGCAGTCTTACTGCGGCTCATCTTCTCCTCTCTAACCGGAGCACCTTCATTCGAAGAGTCTGGGACCACCTTCCTGGACCAACCTTTTCCGCACACTGAGATACTTGCGGTCCAAAAAGATATCCTTCACAGCCTCGAAATCGGCGGACCATCCCCGTACCATGACTCCGACGCCTTGATCATTTCGGCCCTATCAGATCGTCCCCACTTGGGGACTGAGCAGAATAGGAGGGACACACCTCGCTTTCCTTCTTCCACGGTGTGAATTCACGACAAAATGTCGCACTCTTACCCGAATCCTTACAGTGTCCCAAGACCCGGACAGCAATCTCCGTTACTGGGAACTCCATCATTTTACCGACCGCGACCTCAGCAACACAGAGCGAATTCCTCTATGTCCAGAACTCATCACCATAATGCAAGTATAACGTCAAACCCCTCGCAAGGAACGCAGGACGTGGGAAGCGAACCGGATTTGTGGCCAGTGAATGCCCATTTCGATCTCCCAGCGGTGTCGAGCCCCGGGTCCTTGCAACCTTCCTCTGACATTTACAACCTTGACGAAGACACTTCCTACCGCGAGTCCTCCTTTGACGATTTCTTGACGACGGAAGGATCTTCTGAAAACCATCTGAGCAACCATACTACACCGCAAGAACAGATTTGGGAGCAGCAATTCTTGTCTCAGGACGCCGTACAACCACATAAAGTTGACTCTTACGGAGCGAACAATTTCGAGGCTGTACAAGGAGTTTCTCGGAGCTCAGATCTGCAGAGTTATTTCCAACACACCGAAGAGCCGCTGCCGAGATTCGTCTCTGGGGAAGAGCTAAGAAGTTCCAAAAATTCCTCAAGTGGATCACCTCTTCCTCGTCCTCCGCGCACTCAAATTGTGGACCAGCAACAAAATCAATCAATGGACTGCTCGAGCACTCCCCATAGAAGAGGAATCTCTCAAACCCTCAAAGTGGATACGACCTCAAACCACACCCCTTCTCCCAACAACAAAGTGGACTCCTGGCAACGCACCTCAGGCATACGGGCACCAAGTCCCGTAGTCATGATATCCGACTATGAAACTTCTGGCGTGAAGTCTGAGACTCAACAGAACCTCATACCTACATCTGCCAAGCGTGGTCGTGAGAGCGAATCTTCTGACGATGACGATGACGATGACGATGACGAAGCTGGTTCTGACGGAGCAGGATCAAGGGGTATTGACGTGTCTCCATCTCGTCTGATGCCTCCAGACGCCAATAATACAGATAATCTACGTGCAACGCCATCGCAGCGCCGTGGGTTTGAACCGCAGTCGAGGAACAATGAAACGGTGACTTCGGCGAAGGAACTTGAAGAACAGCGCAAGCTCGAGGAAAGAAACGCCGATGTTCAGGAATGGCTTGCCACGAGCGAAGCCAGCAATGCACCCGAAGACGGATCTGGAGCGAAGGCCTCGCACCCGACATCTCAAGGGGCAAGACGGCGAGCTCACACCACCGAGGGCCGACTAGACGCCCTTGGCCCCGTATACTCAGACCAGCATATCCCCGGTCCCGGCGCTCTCGTCGATGAGGAATCAGACGACGAGTATTTTGACGAAGTGTCGGTACACTCGTCAGTGATTCAAGAGCTCACGGAGCAGACCATCGAGCACTATCGAGTAGATGGTCCACCACTTTCACCACATACTCTCGCCCACCGCACATCGACTGATGACTCCGCATTCCCTCCTCTTGAAGATCAAACGCCAGGGGAACTGGAGCCGCTGCCTACCCAGTTCATAAGGCGAGGCCCATGGCAAGATGCTGTTCGAGGTCCTGTTGTCAGCACAAGAGGTCAACCCGATACATCAAACGCAGCCGCCTACAAGTATAACGAAGAAGCAGCAAAGTGGGAGACTGCCTCTAGGGCTGCGACCTGGGGAACCCGACGCCGCCTCAGCGAGAGCGAAATCAATTCAATCGTCGAAGGCAGCCAGATCCGGCATCTGTCGCTTTCGAAAAGAGGTCGGGAACGAACAAGCAGCCTCTTCAACAAGGCTCGGGGCATATTCCCCCGGCGTAGTAGTAGTAACATAAAAGAAGAGCCCACGGCAGAAGACAATGAGGCAGTACCCCGAGGACATTCTCATCGAAGCTCTGTTGGAAGCATCAAACCGCAGAGGATGCCGAGTTTTGGCAAGCCCAAGTCTCCTCCTTTGAATACGGGCAGTGCCTTGCTTGCGATGACTGGCCAGCTTGCAGCCGTTGGGCGTGGGAACTCGGTGGCACAGGATCTCGAGACCTCCAAGTCGACACGACCCTTGCAGACACTCAAGAAGCAGCGCAGCAAGAGTGACGTGACCAAGAATGCAAAGTCGTCCCAACCAGGACTGGCTGATTTACTGACAAAGCACGGAGGACCGCCCATTCCGACTCTCGCGTCCCCGATGCATGAGCGCGAACCCATCCTGGCCGCGCAGGTTATCGACAATGAAGACGCTCCTGCGGACGACGAAGAGGACGAGACAGATGAGGTGGCTATCAAGATGGATCTTGAGATCCGCGTCGAGGACATCAGGCCGACCATCGAAGGATTCAGAGATCATGCACGAAAACTCAATCCTAGGCTGGAGCCATATCTGCTTGAACGCATTGGGCAAGAACAGATTCGACGCTACAAGAAACTTGTCGAGAACAAGATCAAACACACTCGATATGTCCAAGTTGCGCAAAGGTGTGCATCGGGCAAGTTTTGCTTTGATCTGGGTGGTCAGGCGACACCTCTCGCGCCACGGGTCAGCTCCAAGGATCCAGACACGACACTGACGCAATTTCAGATCAGTAACCCTGCGGATGATGAGGTGGACGAGTCTGGGTTCACCGATGGGGTTGTCACACCGGCACTTTTTCCTCTAGGGATTCCATTGCCGCCAGTTCCACGACTCCCGGCCGAGTTTGAGTGTAATCTCTGCTTCAAGGTCAAGAAGTTTCATAAACCGTCCGACTGGACCAAGCACGTGCATGAGGACATCCAGCCGTTCTCCTGCACCTTTCCCAATTGCACCGAATCGAAGTCATTCAAGCGCAAGGCAGACTGGGTACGTCACGAGAATGAGCGGCACCGGCACTTGGAGTGGTGGCAGTGTTCGATTCAGGAATGCAATCACGTTTGCTACCGCAAAGACAATTTTGTCCAGCATCTAGTGCGAGAGCATAAAATGACCGAACCCAAGGTCAAGCGGGGTTCCGGGAGCAGCAAGAACAAGGCGATCAATAACGGCTTTCAAGAGGATAGTGACGTGTGGCGGATGGTGGACGAGTGTCGCTTCCAGACAGACAAAAACGCCCGCGACGAAGCTTGTCGCTTCTGTGGCAACCATTGTTCGACATTCAAGAAGTTGTCGGTGCATATGGGCAGGCACATGGAGCAGATCGCGCTGCCGGTCCTGCAGCTGGTGAGCATGACAGAAGTCTCGCCTGACACCATCGTGAGCCCGATTGATCAACCGCCCATGATGGGGTCGTCCTTTGGCACCATTCCCGGAACGATGAACAATGTGGATGGGAGCAATCTCTCACCGTATCCTGTCAGTGCAACATCGGCCTACCAGACCTCGTCGGCGGGACAGTCACCGGCTTCCCTGCATGTACATCCCCAAAATGGAGGGTTTCCGCTCGACCAGGGATACTATAGCCCGCATGCGTTGACACCGACAACCCAAGGGCAGGTGATGACGGGTGGCTATGGAGCTACGGCGAACTATGTTCATCAGTCACCCGTCTTCATGGGACCAGGTCAGATGCAAGCATCGCATCAACACAGCCTGTCGCCGCAGAATGCGATGGCGGCACCCCGGTCTCAACCCATGGGTCCAGGGTATGATAACTCGTTCTACGACTCAACAGGGGCGATGTACACGCAAGCATCGATGCAAAACATGTATGTGAGCGCGCACTCGCATCCGCAACCGATATCGGGGTATAGCATGGGGCAATATGCCTCATCGATGCTACCAAGTCAAACACGAGGAGGACATGCGAGTCCAATGGAATTTGATGGTCGAGCAGGGCTGGGCCTACAGACGGGGTTGAACGCACACACGGCTCCCTCGTATGTGTATGGGGCTCCAGGAGCAGGGGAGACAAGTGCGGACATGCATTTTGCATGAAGAAGTTGGAAATTGCTATCGGATAGACTTTTCCCATAGTGAGGCGGCGAGGGTGTGGACAGGGGTCCCGCTGCAGGAGGGCGGGAGGGGACTTGCCATTTGACATTGATTACCTTGGAGTTGGGGGATTCGGGACCGCTTTGGATGTAGTTCAATCCTCTGTCCCGAATGGTTACGGTTGTATTCTAGATACCCATATGGTGTTCTGAGTCCCAGGGATTGGAATCTGGGTTATGATTGGCATGACAAGCGGACAGTGATGAATGCGACGATGGCCCCAAACTGGGTCACTTTCGAGTTTTGCAACTTTGGATTGGTTTCTGGAACTTTTGGAGCTTGGAAAGTCGTGGACTTTTCGGAAAGTTGGAGATGGTGTGGCCAGTCAATGGGGAGCGTAGACGACCAGCGACCGACTTGGCGGGCCGTTGGTGGGCGTTGTAAAGGGCGTTGTAAACGTTAGTGGGGGAGGTGGTAACGAGGCGAGTTACGGACGTGGGAAATGTAGATGTAGCGATGGCGCCTGAGAGGTATGACCTACTAGGTATGCCCCCTGGGTACATACCTACTTAGGGACGTGGGAGGTATACACCGAGACGTAGTTGATAGGGCGTGTCTAGTAAGTACCTACCTAGGTAGGTATGTTAGTAGGTACCTGGTAGTTTTGTCGTACTTCTGCCCCTCTGCACGGTACAAACGTACGGTGTTGGTGGTGTTCCGGGTTCCTCTTCCCAACCTTGGAAGGATACAAGTACTGTCAATACACGGGCAATACATTGGATGTGGCCAAAGTGCCTGGCAGCAAGAGGCAGCCACTAGCCTGGAACACACAAGCCCAAGGCATACTCGCAGTTCGCGGGCCACTTTGCGGGCGGCTTATTGGTGCTGTTGGCAGTTGCTGACCCTGGCGATGAATGCATTGTCTGACCGGTCAGAGGCTCGGAGTAAGTAGTTCTGCTACTCGCGGTCACGAGCAAGTCCCAAGCCAGTCATGGGCATCGCCTGGGTGGCCGGGCTTCAAGTTCTGATCAGTGGCCTCCGTCATCCAGCGTCATTTACGATTGTGACCCTCAGAACCGTCCACCCGCGCGCGCCCAAAACTCCCGCAACTCTTCCCCCACCACATGCTGCGTCTGTACACTACTAGTAACGTTCACTGATACAACTCACTTTCGCGCTCTCACACACACCTATTCAACCTGCGTCCCTTCTGCCTGCTACACCGGTTGCTTCGTTCCTTGTTCTCAACTACAAAGTGCCCGTCTTCTTGATGGTTTTGTTTCATTCTCATCTGGAAATGACTCCTCAACTGCTTCCGCCATTCCGTTAATCCCGCCCTTTGGGGTTGATCAGGCTCGTCAACCAGCCTGTGAGTCCCTCAGTCCCTCTTTCATCGCTGCACCGCCCCCAATTCTCTTTCCGAGTCTCCCAAGTCCCAAGCCCCAAGTCTCAACTCGGTGCAAACTCTCTTCATCGCTCATGTCTCCCATCTTTTTCTGCGCTGCACCTGTCTGCTCCTTCATATATTGACAAAGGCACCCCCCCCTTCCAGCATGGAGATTTGGCCTCCTTCTTCCGCCTCATTTATTGTCGAGTCGGGCCAAAAGAAACTGCGACTAGGCTAGGCTACAACCCCAACCCACCACCGCCTACCTCGTTTTGATTGGCTACACCTACCTCAGTCATTCATCAGCATTGCCATAGGCGTTTTTGCAGTCCTCGACTCAAACCATTGCAGGCGGTGTTGACGAAACCGTCATTGAGCTTCCCTTGACCATTACTGGCCCTTTAACCTCTTCCCCGTGTGGCCTCGCTTGCTCCCCTTCTGGACTTGACCTCTTCCATACCCTGGACTCTCAGCGAGTCAAGTCGAACGAAAGCGTAAGCATTTCTCTCCCCTCTCGCCCTGATCGCCAAAGGGAATGAAATGTTTGCCTCACTTCTTCTCTCTCGTTATTGTAGCAAGACATTCATTGGATCTTTTCTGCCGATGTCGGGGCTAACCACCGGGGATTCAGTTATATTACATCCTTCCACCTCCCTCACCCACCATGTCGGAAAATCAATCTCGACCGCGTCAATCGGTCTCCAAACCAATGTGGCCGGCAAGATCAAATGTATATCCAGCACTGCCTCACAGCCCTGTCGCTCGCGCGGGCTCTGACTCATTGTTCCAGGCATTTGTCTCGATACCTGACGAGGGCGGTGCATCTGCGTCGGCGTCTGCCCTACACTCAGCCTACTCGACGGATTCTGTCTTGACAGGCCTGCAGACCCCTCTGTCTGCCATGTCCTCTTCCTGTGACCACATCCCTAGAAGGTTCTTTCCGCCCTCCGATGCCCACTTCCGGGACTATACTGGCTCTTTTGACTCCTATGCATTCCAACATATCCAAGGCGGTTCCCAGTATTCCTTTTCTTCCCCTGGCTCATCGCTTCCTCCTCGCTTTGTGGATTCGTCTTCTGTTGATATCAACGGTGTGCCCAGTCACCAGACCGCTACGGGACCCTGGACACATCTCGCTGCCACTGAGGGAACTCCTCCACCATTGCCTGGAATATCAGCCTCCGACGAGCCTGGACTGCCTCCCCAACATCTTAGAACCCCCGTTCATAATCGTGCCTACTCTTCTGCCAGCGCACAAAAATCTCTAGGAGACTCGGGCTACGAAACCCGATCAAGGAAATCTCAGCAGCATGAAGTCGACTCAGTGACAGAAGAGCAGACAGAAATGGACGAACAGGACATGAGCAACACCCCCGTGCCTTTGACCCTGTCTCACTCCTATCCCCCTTCCAACTACACAACCGTCGCTCCTCGTAGCTTGGAGCCGGTCCCTTCAGAATCCGGGCAATCGGCCGCTCACCCACCACACCAGAGAAACAAAGACCTAGGATGCTCCGAATGTAAATATGTGGGCAAGACAAGGTCCGATCTGAAGAAACACTCAGCTCGTCACAAACGCGAACACAAATGTCAATTTGTGGAATGCGTTCGGTCCACCAAAGGGTTTGCAACTATCAATGACCTTGACAGACATCTGAAAACCGTACACAAGATCAACAACCGCAACAGCAGATCCTTCAAATGCTTTGCCGATGGCTGCCCCAAGCGCGAAAAGGAATGGCCTCGGTTGGACAACTTCAAGCAGCATCTCAGAAAGATGCACGAAGATCAAAACATGAAAACTCTGCTTCAGCGGTCCAACGAATGGTATGAACAGCGTCGTCAACAAGAACAAGCCGATGAGACGGCATCCGTTTCGGCGTCAATGCCCTCGCGATCGTCCCACTCATTGCTTCCTGCGCAAGAGCAATTTCCCGCTTCTGACAGAAAATATCCGGATCCAAGCTCAGTATTCAATCCAAACGTGCCCGAGACCCTCCAGATGTCTCGCTCGCTCAGTCACAGTGATCCTGTCATTGATCAAGCTCTTAGCCGGCCGTTGGGTCCAGCGCACCCCATGTCGCAACAGAATCAGAGTCGATTCATATCTACGACAACCCACAGCTGGAGCCTGCAGCAACAACGAGGAGGCCTTACAAATCTCGACACCAACAACCTTTCATCTCCCCCAGCCCACATGCAAAGGGCACGGTCACAGGCCGATATCTCTAGATTTCAGGATTTCTCGCAGCTCGCTTCCGACTTTAGCAATCAAAGAGTTAACTACCAAATTTCGTCCCGTCCGTCTCGGAATTCCTTTGACGCTGCAACCGCTGCAACAAGGATGAACTCTTCATTCGGCTACGGACCGACCGGGAGATCAAAAAGGCCAAATACAATTGCCGTCCTAGACCTGGACCTGGATCGCATGGCCGACTTCATCTCACCGCAGGAACTGCCCCATGACCGCCAGGACCTCGGAGGCTCACAGGAAGAATACCTTGGCTTCGTTGGAAGTAGTACCAACCCGGCCATCGCCGACAACGGCCCGGGACCTTCGCCTCACCAAGGCTACCAGGTCAACATCATCCAACCCGACAATACGCCCAAGTCTGGGCTCCAGAAAGCGATTGAAGACGAGATCCGCTCTTTTTTAGAACTCCATTGCCCCAACGGAGGGAATGACGAGGAAATCCTGAATCAGTTCCGATTGACTCTACACAGCAGCGATGGCATGACGAGTTGTGCTGCCTCATCTGTTGGGCCGGTTTCGAGGACTACCGATGCCGAACTTTCCGCCGGTTTCCGATTGCCCCTGACAAAAGCGACGCAGTTTCCATGTCAGTATCAGGGATGTACAAAGGTGATGCAGAGGCAAAGTGATCTGAACAAGCACATGAAACGCCATTGGAAGCCGTATGGTTGTGTCTTCGATGGATGCACCAAGGCTTTCGGCAGTAAGGACGACTGGAAAAGGCACGAACAGAATCAACACGAGCAACAAGAGTGTTGGCTTTGTGACAAATGCTCCATGGTGTTTTTCCACGATTCGTCAAACTACATTAAGCATATGCAGGAAGCTCATTCGGTTTCGCGACCAGAAGAACACGCTAAGCACCGCCGCATCGCGCGCAATTATCAGGGCCGGTTTTGGTGTGGTTTCTGCCAAGACATCATCAAACACGTTAAGACTGACGTGGACGCCATCACATACCGCTTCAGTCATATTGCTGATCACTTCATGAAGGAGCACAGATCAAGCAACGACTGGATTGAGCTCACGGGCAATGGAAAGACAAAGGGAGCATTGAAGGAGGAGAAGAAGCAGGCCGAAGGCATCCAAGAAGAAGAGGATGATGTCTTTGATGCCTCGCAAACAGCATGCGAGGCTACTCAGTCGTCGCCCTCTCAGCAAAGCGGCTTCTCGGAAGCTCACCAACCCTTCTCGACGCAAGCGGTCAACCCCTCCAGCACTCAGCAGGAATTATCAAGCACGGACCACATGCGTGGCACGAGGGTGATGTTTCAGACAACCGAGATGCGCACGCCGATCCAAAGCCAGAGCCAGGGTCAGGATCGGAACTCGGACTCACATCGCCGTCGCCAACAACGCCATGCCGAATTCTTCAGCTGCTGCCAGTGCGGCGTTACCCAGTCCTATAGCCTAAGCAAACGCTGTATGGATCTGGCTTGTCAGCACCAGTTCTGCGACAACTGTATCTTAGCCGCTCCCGACACAGACTTTATCTCCTTTCCTGGTGATTACGACAATTAGACCATGTCAGCATTTCCTCATGTTACTGTTTATCATACCCCTGTTTGTGCTAATGTTTGTTATCTATGAGCTGTGTGAGCGTCATGCCGGAGAGTTGCTGTTTACATGACAGGGATTGCTGGACTGAAGTGTCGCGTTTGTCTTTTTGATTCTTTTCCACCTTTTACTTGAGCGGATCACGGAAGGGAAATGAAACTTGCAGCGAATCCAGTTTTGTTGACCGAGCGGCGTACTCATGGTGGCATGTGCATTGGCTACATTTGTCATCAGTCAATCTGTTGTGCTCGGCTCCGTTGCGCAGGGGTCATTGTTGTTGGCACGGCGTTATTATTGTGTTTTTTTTGTTTCGAGTTTGAGATTGGATTTCATGTATGGGTTTGAGTCATCCCACTCTTCATGTGCCCTTATATGCCTCATGATATGGGATGTGGAGTGAACAAGCAAGACGTGACGAGAAGAGACGAACTGTATGAAAAATGTTGAACGAAGCACAGAGATACCAGGTCGCACAGAGCAAATGTTTTCTTCTTCTAGATAGTAAGATGATTTTCGCCTTATCATACTTGGATATCTCTCTCCGCGTTTGGTATATGCATGGCGTAGTCAGTAGTAACCCATTGGGAAGACCAGACCCGACCAGCTCCTCATTATTTCTTCTTCTTCTTCTTCTTCTTCTTCTTCTTCTTCTTCTTCTTC